CGCAACTCTTAATATTTATATATTTATCGTAACAACTTCATCAATTCGTGATTTTTTATGTAATAAATTCATTAATTCTGATTCTTAATATGAAAAATCATCATTCAATTCTGAACCTTCGCTGACGCTGCAAATATCCCTATTTATGTAAATCATTCTCGTACTTTTACTGGAAAAAGCAAATGTGACTTATTACGTTAATGTTATTACCTTGGCTTATTACTTTACCTTATTAGTGTGCCGCCAATATATGCAGAGTGTCCATAAAGTCCCTTTACAATTTCAATTTTTGTTATGAAGCCAGTTTATATCTTAAGTATTTTTACTTCATTTAATACATCTGTGAGGGCCAAAATAAAGTGGGGCATCGATAAATTTCCTCTTGCAATTTTAAAAATGTTAAGACTTTATGGACACCCTATATCAGGGGTCACCAAACTACGGCCCGCGGGCCGGATCCGGCCCGCGGCGTCATTTTATCCGGCCCGCAACAACACGTAAAAATAACGAAATTTTTTTCCAAGAGAAATTTTCCCGAGCATCGTCTTCGTAATAAGCTTTTTCCAATCCGCTTGGACACTTTTGTCAGCCTGACAGATTTTCAGTCTTGGTTGTAAACAATAGTTCGTTTTTGCGATTTTGAATGCTATTCGTTAGTTTTTAGTTGTGTTTGGGAAATTTAAGTATGAATCAAATAAGTCAATCATCATTTGCCTCTTAGGAATTGTAGTTTTAATAGTAGTAATGAAAATTAGTCTAGAAATAGCTGTGACAAAATAGGCTAAAATTCTCTACCGGGTACGCAACGTTTTCTGTGAAAGATGCACTCGTGGGGCGGGGCGAAACTTTTTACGTTTCTTGTGCTGAAATGAATGCCGAATGTGCATTTCGCGCTAACAGTATTGAAATCCCTCGCGTATTGCTCCAATTTCACAAGTCACACTATTTTTGTACTGCTTAAATGCGGATATTCATGTAGTTATGTTTCAAAAAATTAAAGTTCATCCGATTTAAATAAAAACTGCGTCATTGATTGGATAGATCTGAGTGGAAATGAAAAACAATACCAAGTATACGGAGATATCGGAATTTTAGAACCGCTCGACAGGCCAATTTTTTCCATAAAAATTGTATTACTTTTTTGATAAGAACTGTAATAAATATGAAATATACATATCAATCACTAATTTTTCGATCGCGTCTTTATGAAATATTGAGACTATTTCAGGATTTTATTCCGGCAACGGTCTTGACACCACCCGAAAGATCGTCGCAAATAAACGCTGAAGTTGTGCATGATAGTTTGACAGTGGTTCATTGTGGGTAATAATTAAAAGATGTTTCTGATTGTACAAACTTCATGAAATTGGTAAGTATCAAGTTAGGTAAGAAATACACACATTGACATAAATTTTTTTGGTGTCAATAGACATAGACAATATCATTAATTTGCGCTACGTATAACTTGAGCGTAATTTTTAAAAACTCCGAATGTTGGGAAATTTATAAAATCAAATACCAGATAATAGTTGTTTATTTCATCTAATTATGTTCAAAATTTCATGGAATTCCATGCTACAGCAGACAGTCCGTAGTCGTTTTTATGAGCAGTATGGATTTCCCAACTTTTGTGAAATTATTGTATTACATTGACAAAAATATTTGTCCGGCCCGTTTCAACACAGTTTGAGTCATACCCGGCCCGCGGTCAAAAAAGTTTAATGAACCCTGCCCTATATAATGAGGCAAAAATCAAAGCAATTTTCAAATCCCCCAAGTTTATATATTTAAACAAATATATAGCCTACATATACAAAAACTGTTTTATACATAATTGATTTTATAGTAATTATTATTTATTATTAGTTAACCTGCCTGCGGATTATACTAGCAATATTCTTTATAGGCTATCTGGCTTTATCAACATTTTTAATAGTACTTTGCTTTATCACGCAAAGTCTATTATGGTGTTTTAATACGTCTATAGTCTCAACTTTTAAGTCAGTACTCTTTACGATGTAAAATGAAGGCTGTGGTCTTTACTTCAAAATAAAAATAAATGATATGGTTTATATATTCTAAGCATATAAGGTGATGAAAACACCATTCATATTAGTGAAACGACATAGCTGGAATTGGAAATGGCAGGATGGTACTGATGTGATCATGATAGGTGAAGTTGGATATTAATATATACCAATACCAACCAACCAAATTATTCTCTAAACAGTCAAAGTATTTACATACTGCATATGTAAAAATGAGGTAGGTTTTAGCTTAAGATAGTTGATCGACTTGGTGACTAGTATTTAACCAGTAAACCAAAAGAAGGAATTCCCCTACGACAGACAATGGCATTATTGAAGTCTCGCTAGCCGTTGACTTCGCTACACTTTGCTACACACGACATAAAAGTTAGGAAAAATAATTTACGAAGTAATTTTTTTTTTACAATTTCTTTAAATATAGTTGAGAACCAAATCAGTTTTGATATCTTACTTCACCTCTCATCATTTAAAACTCAAATTTATAACTACGAGAAAATTGTTTGCCGATCAATAATGGAATGGGTTCAATATGCTCAATTCTAACTTTCGTTCCGCCAATGATCAAGAATTGTTTTTTTGCTGAGTTGCATTCTAGTCGGAACTGGTGTTGAGGAGTGACAACGGTACTGCTGTACTGGCTTGTTCACGTTTTAACCTGTGGTGCAGTGCAAGCTTAGCAATCGCCGTTGTAATACTTAGCAAGATAGGTAATATCATTCCAAAAGCATAAAGTTAAACTGTGGATAAGTACGCCGAACAATCGCCGAGTGCATAATGAAACAATTCGCTGGCATTGAATGAATACCAATAAGGAGCCTACAGATGATGTAAAGATGAAAAGGACGTTAAGGCAGCATGACAGAATCGAAATATAATGAATCAGGTTTATGAAGAAAAGTAATTGAAATTCAACTAACGCAGATAGGCCTACAGTAAAAGTTTTTATCGGTACTGCAAAATCTACATATATATTGAATGACAACTCAAACAATATCTTTGGTATTATATATGCATAAACAGTTTTATGGTCTTATAATTTGACCATGCCAATTCGCAACGTTTTTAACATTTTTTTAATGGCGTGTTATTGTTTTGTTCTGTGTGCATATCGTTTTAAGAATATCGGTATTGGCCTCATCAATTACAGACCTGTACACGCGTGATTGGTGTGTTTCCTGTGAATTGCTTTTATAAGTGTCTGTGCACATAATTTACCAACATAGCTTCGATTAAAGTTTGTATTTTGCTTCTTTTAAACCAATGCCAAATCAGTTAAGTTATTCGTGGCTTCCGACTATTCTCGTTAGTCGTTACTTTGTCACATTGTATTTGTATCAGATTGAATAGATCATTATCAGCTTAAGTATTTTAAAAGTAGCCTACAACAGCCTGAACGTTCAATACATTCGCGTATTTTTTGCGTGTTTATTTCTGGCCCATTCCTCGTTTAACAAAGTTTGTGTTTTTTGTTAGTGACTTGATCAAGCTACCAAGAATTGGACCAGTCCCGCCATCTATATCATCGGAAATGAAAAACTCAGTCTGATACCGGCATCAAATCTCAACAACACCTCTGTAACACAACATAACAGCTATTTAAGTAAACATTGTTCACAGGTTGGGGGAATAGCTATATTTTGGATTGAGATTTCATGCGCAAATATTGCACTATCTCATCTATTACTATCAGGTGAAGAAACATTTATATAATATTTACAACGTTGCTAGTTATTTGCGTCAAATCGGAAATCACTGTTATTCACGAAACCACAAGCTTCTTATGTCTTTTGGTTACTGCATGTCGAAACTGTACAAACAGTAGTGACACCTCGTAAAATGATTATAAGTTCACACCCACAATTCATTGAGTCACTTTTGTACATAAGACATGCATTGCTAAACCAACTGTATTTAATCTGTATATACACATTTAATATTAGATGTCAATATCATATTGTTGAGCAATATAATGAACAAATATAAATTTAATACGCAAAAGCAAAAATAACATATATTTTAGTTTCATAGAAGATAATGTGTGAGATTTTTAAGATTGTTGTGAAACGAGTTTGTCAAATATTGTTTATCTGTCATTTTCCCTTTTTCCACGTATATTTACAAAATTTGAAAGATCACATATAAAGCACATGGAGATTTTACACGACCCTGCTCAAATTTTGCTATATCACTTAAAACAGTTTTCATTTGGTTAACTTATAAAAAGCGAAATGCTTGTGCACGTCTCATGTTTCCTGATTGCAGTAGACAGTGAAAATATTTCCACATTTAAACGCACCAACATCTATACATCTGAATGAAGGAGACTTTTTAATATATCGAGACTTAATTTTCATATAGACTTTTCTGAGTACGTTCTTGAGAAAAGTTTGAAATATGAAAGTTTTTATCCTTATTTAATTACACATGGCCAACTTTCAGGAAATTTGGAATAAGTAACAAACTCAAATCTGCGTTTGCGATCTTTTCAACTGCTTACTCTATTTATACTTCTTGAAAACGTATATGTCTCAGATACAAGTATTTCCAAGCACAATATTGTTCTTCACTAGAAATTAGAGGTATCGGTGCTGGATGTTCAAGTGATATTAACTTTTGCTAGTCTTAATAAGTTTATAATAATAGGTCTGTACGAATAAAGCAGCCACATTTACAAATAACAATAAAGAAAAATCAACGAAGTAAACAAAATGTCGCCAGTAATGTAAAAACACTCTTTAAAAGTCAGAATTTCCTTTTCTGAGAAAAATACAATAAAAATTTAGAAACTCACGAAGGTCTGATAGATCATCATCGAGTCAGCGATACCTCAATATAATTAAAAAGCGAAACAAAAATGTCAAGTGGAAATGCAAAAAACAATAGAATTAAACACCACTTGGTCTAGCTTGAGGCATTTGCAGGACCTGGTAAATAAAAATCTTTCATTTCAGACATAACATCCAATTACTACTATAAGAATAACGAACTATTTTTAGTCGAAAGAAGTATTCTTTCATTTTTGTCTTCTATTTTTAGTCAACAAGAAGAATTCTTTTATTTTTGGAAATGACACTATAAAACTTTCCTATTTTATAGTATATGCGTATTAGTTGTCGGGCATGGAAATTATACCGAACGAGACAAATGAGTGTGAACTTCTCAAGTAAGTTTTTTGATTTTTATTGCTGTAATATAATACACAGACTTAACTTGAACTACAAGTCGTTTACAAGAATGCATGCTGGAATATACATGTTTGCGACAGACCTACAGAGCTGATTACACTCTGGGCGTAAATGTGAACAGTACTGATGATTGCTCTGTCCTGGCTATGGGATAGAGATGTCGATCGACACCAACTTGACTGACTACTTGAATAATAACGACATTATATGTAACAAGTATACCTAGTGTTTTGTAAATAAACAACTCTTTTGAATTTTTCTACATTTTGTTATTTGCTGATAGTTACTGCTTAGCTGAAATTCATCAGGCGTTGTAAGATTCGTAAGCTGTTTCCACTTGTGTTTGCTTAGTTGTCGCAGGCAGAGCTTGTTCGTAACCGGCAGTTTCTTGCAGGACATTTGATGATGATGGTTGTTCGTAAGCTGACTCCACTTGTGTTTTCTTTGTTGTCGCAGGCAGAGCTTGTTCGTAACCGGCAGTTTCTTGCAGGACATTTGATGATGATAGTTGTTCGTGAGCTGACTCCACTTGTGTTTGCTTAGTTTTTGCAGGAAGTGGTTGTTCGTATCCGGCAGTTTCTTGCAAGACATTTGAATATGATGGTTGTGAAGCTGGATTGTTGGAAGGAGTTGCTAATTAATTGAAAGAATGAAATTATCAACCACAGAACAAAAAAAATAGATTCAAAATGCTTATCTTGATAGAAATCAGATCTATGTAAACCTGTAGTAGACAGTGTGTTAAAATAATAATTTTTGAAATAAAAAATATCACAGTTTTTTCTATCAGTTCATAGAAGGTTTGTTCACAGACAATCTCTTTCAAATTTTTAGTAATATTATGGGCGTGACTCCTAGTAGGGCGTTAATTTTATTCATTTTTTATGGCATTCCAATTTTGTATGAACTTGAGATATACAAATTGTATTGCCCCACTATTAGAACCTGTATTGGTTGATAAACGTTTTCTACCTCATTAACATTGATGGCATGTGTTTATCATTGAAGTGGAGTTACAACTTTTATCGTGACCGTTTTCTGTTGTGTTTATACACTTTGAATGACACTTCGAATTTGATTTTATGGGAATAATATTTTATACATCAGTTCTGATTATTCCTCACTACCTTTTTCTTTTATAGTTTCGTAATTGTGTTCTTTTACTTCTGCCTTTTCCTTCAAATTCTTTATTTCTTTCTTCAACTTGTATATGATCCAGACAGAGACGACCAAGAAGACGAAAGCAATGAGAAAACCAATCACAAAACTGATGATGTTGAACTCGAACGCTCCTTTCTCTAAAACAAATACGTTACTCTAATTTCCTGTTGATATTTAAAGGTTTTGGGATTATAGTTTTATTGGATAGGCAACATCATCTCTAGAATTACAAAAATAGTATATAACGTTCATCATAAAAGAACACTTTATTCTTCTTTTAATTCTCAAAACTATTTGCTTGTTATCTTGTGTTGTTTGAAGTTTGCTAATTATTTTCATAATCTGGCTTTGAACTAACCAAATCTGAATATTTGTTATTCTTACCGGTATCGTTCTTAGCAGTAGTTTCCTGTTCACCTTGTTTCAACGTTATAGAGGGGCTTTGACTGAAATGTATTTGGTCACCAGAGGGCGTAGAATAAACTATCGAGACACTGAAGTAAAATAAGTTATATTATGCATTGCGGAAATACATTCCTTAAATGAAATACCGATAAAAGATCCGATATATTATATTTGATTTAATAGCACTATTAAATAGGTAAATCAATCTAATTTGACGTTAACATATATCTTTACTGTCTGTCGGTTTTGAAATAGCATTATAACAATACCAAAACTTTCAATTAAGAATTAAAAGTATATGATGATCTATAACCCTAAGATATATCTGGAATACCTGAACGTCTTTTTATCTAATTTTTTGTTCCTTGCTGTGAATAAAATTTCTTTTCCACGACTTTGTTCATTTTGTATCCCTGCTTTTCCGGTATTTATTACGTCACAGGTTGTCATTGATTCTTCACCGAGTGTAATATTCATTCTCTCCCAATTCATGCTAAAATATTTTATTCAATGTAAAATAGAATATGGTATGTTATGCAGGAAATACCGCTGCTACTCGAGACAATAGAAAAATGACGTTGCAACGACGCATACAAGTATATACAAATTGAAACTCTTAATATAGCAGTATATATGAATTCAAAATACATGAAGGGTGCGGTGGTACGCACATACGCGGTATCAAAGTATCTTGTTGCATGTGCTTTGTATATATTATAGCCAAAAATTATTGGAGTAAAGTATTAGTAGTACAATGTGTTTCGTTACGGTCGTTAGAAAATTCAACTTCAAAAATTTTATAAACTCTACAACAAATAATCGCTGTTGTCCTGATATATAACATAATACATCCACTAGCTAGACGTAAAATCAAGTTAACCGGGTAATCTAATTAAATGTTACTTTCTAATTGGCTTTGTCGGATTAGCAACCAGAAATAGCAAATGAAACAAATCACCCTAGTACTTCTTACGAGTGGGACTTTCACCCGATCTATTAATTTTAATTTTACAAATAGAATTTTAAGTTGTTTATCTTATAAATCGTATTTTTTGTTTATAAATCCTGTTCAACTGAAAACACCCAATTGACAGATCACGTAGAATATTCTTCTGGAAAAAACGATTTCCAACCTTGTCATAGGTATTGCTTTAGCAATATATTCATCTCCGCTCACTGTGTTGTTAATATTTATCATGTCAGTCATAGAAAAGTCGTCGTCAAGTTCCTTCAAATTTGTGTGTACAAGTACAAATATGCAACTGAGGTAAATAAATTATACAATATTAAAAGTTGTACTGATAGCACTATTTGTTGAGGAATGAATTCCGTATTGTGGAATGATATTGATCAAAATAAATCAAAACTTCAGTGTCTAGTAAGCAAAGTGACTATATTGGTGAGAGAGATGCTTAATATACCTAATATGATATATGAACATGCTCGGTCGATTTTTATTCCAGGCTAACTATCAACCGTAGAGAAACAGACGTATTAACTTTTTGAATACCGATATATATATTATTTTCTACTCTGTTGCATTTAGCTTACCTGACAAGGCCATTAGTCTCATCCGGTGCCTGTATTGCCAGTTCTTTGATGCCACACACGTTGATTAGGTTATCTTCAAAACTTTCAGGCGGAAAAATCTTTGTAGGAGCTAAAACACGAGACAGTGTTTGCTAAAATAAATTGCGACAAACATGCTTACGCATTTTCACATATATTGGTTTGAATGGAGTTGTTAAGTAGACGGGTAATTGCAAACTTGATTTCACAAATATTAACTTCTCAATATACCTGTAGGTTTTCCTAGACAAGTGCCAGCAACCAATAATTCTTGACCAAGACCAGCACACTTAAATATTTTGATCGAAACAGAATAGTTACGATTTGGTTCTGGTTGAAATGAATACACGGATGATGATGTCACGTTTATCAGTTTCATGTCTGTCTTCAAGTTCAAATCTCGCGACGAAGCCAGGGTTGAAGTTAAATTCAGTTCCTATAAATCATCAGATAAAAGTATTGCATCAGAAATATTGAAGTTTTTATTTTAAATTTCCTGAATATGGGTTTCAAATGAATTGTTGAAGATAACGTAATAAACCAAAACTTCCAGATAAGTGGAATATGATTTTGATATAAAATATTGATAAAACAATATCTGTCATTTATATCAGTGGACCAAAACAGATTTACGATCGTAACAATAGAGTGGATGGCTGTAGAATCAGCCAAACTTCGTGACACAGAGTGAAGTCATATTACACGTATAAATTCTCAATCCAATTTACACACCATCAACCAAGTTGTTGTAGGACATGTGTCTCAAATAGTTTGTGTTAACAATGCAATTATCGACTCACCACGGTATAAGAATCACCAGTCTCTGTTTTGTTATATAAGATCCATGAGATGACGCAAGTTTGCGTATTCTTGTATTGTATAATAGATGACGATTCGACAGATAACTTTGATCCGTCTGTTCTTGCGCTTCGGATGGTAGAATATTGGGTTGGACAGTTATCCTTTGTTACACATGCAGTTATCTGAAATTTATATTTAACAATATAATAAAGCAACGTATAATTTGGGTGAAGTGGTCAAGTAGCTTAGAACGTTTCGTACGTATTCCTGAGAGAGGAGACCTTTTGCTGGAAGTAGAACCCATGCAATAAAAATTATAAAAAAATGATCGTTTACGATATATTGAAAAATTATTACTTACTTTGATTTGAAAGGTTGTGTTAGGTGACAAACTGGTTATTGTGGTTGACTGTTTCTCAGATGTTGGTGAATCCACCCATCTTGTTGATTCACCTGAGGTCGGACTTACTTCTATTCTGTGAAACAGATGTGAGTTGACAGTGACAATTTGATGGAAGTAAAACAACTTGTAACAATATGCGTAATGGTGTTGGGTACACGGGTCGTAACCAACATGATAGATTTACATGTTGACACTCACCAATACGTCTAATAAATTTAACATCGTAACTTAAGCAGCTTCTACCGTTATTGGACACGTTTAGTGGCCATAACGATCGTTTCAAAATTTTGTTGTTATTGTTTAATGTTATTTGTCTCCGTCTCCATTTTTGAAAAATCGCTTTTCTCTTCGAATACTGGACCAATTGCTTTGATATTTTCAGTGGTCAAGATAAAATTTTTCTCCAGAAGGCTATTACTTTTCTTTCGCTATGACGTCATCAAAATTATTGCCACTGGGTGGCGCTACGTGTCCATATATTTGAGCATAGCTCTCTTGTCTTAGATGACATTATATCATTGTTGTGAAAACGACTATTGACTTAGATTTGTCTAAAGGCATTTTCGGTTCGGAGGAAGAGATGACGCATAAACAAGATGTTGAAATTTATGCCTTAATATTCATAAAGGTAAACTCACTTGTGTGGGAATCCAACAGCATTTGTATGTGGTTGCCATGAGATGATCAAGTTAGAGTTGCAGACGTTATTGGATATTTGATGGATTGTGGGATTTCCAGCCACTAGAAAAGTAAATACTAAAAAATTAGCTGACAGAACTTTCAAAATTTAGAGAAGATCGTTATTTAAATTCACCCTCATATGATTCAGTTGTAGTTTTCTCGGTTTTGCCAATTCGATAACGACAACTATAAGATCCCGCATCTGCAATATTCGAATTTTGAAGATTCAATGTTGCTGATCCAGTTTGTATCGTTTGGTAAACTCTACTTGTAGTTGCGGTTGATACTTTGTTAGATGCTTTGTACCAATCAACTTGTGTTGCAGTGCTGCATTCTGTCGCAGAACATCTTTTCTGGTTTCCACTGATTGTTTGTATTCTAACGAACGGGCCCGGAAACACTGAAGCAGAATTTGTGAATTTGAAGCCGTAAATAACACAAATTAGTTTAGAATATGAAAACTAGGTTGGTTACTTTGGTTCATGCAGGCAGAAACACTAAACTTTGAAAGTATCATGATTATATTTTTAGCGGATAAAAGCATTTTTGAGTTGATACTATTAGGGCAACTCTGTTTGTTACAAAATTTAAATTAAGTGATAGAAGCGCAATAATTCTACTATAGGCATTCAGTGGCACCGAAAGACAATACTCGTATCGTATACGGTATTTGTATTGATGTGACCTGTATTGAACAGTTTCAATAGAATATTGCTAATTTGACATTTACTTCAAATCATATTTATCGTGCTAGCTTATAGGACAGGAGTTTATATATTTGAGTTTCGTTGAGGGCAGTGCGGGTATTGTTACTGTAGTGTTCTGGGTACTATAGCATTTCCACAGTTCAAGCTTCTTTCATGATATCGTATGATTTTTGTGGAATTGTTGGAATAGCTTTGATTTCTATATACATATATTTGTGTTTTGCTCTATTGTTTTCTTTAGATAGAACCTATGCAACTTGATACGTTTCCTTTACCTTCAGTTGAGCAAGCTTGCATATTCAAACCACTTGTACGATACCAGAAAAATTTACGACAAAGCTAAAAAACTCATAAGAATGTCATTATGAGGACGAGTTATACAAGTCTGTTATCAAAACATAGCCATATAATGAATTCATTGAATAATGAAACATCAATGATACCTATCTTTCAAATTGAGCCAAAAATAGAAAACCGAGTATTACCTTTCTGGCAAATGTAGAAGAAGTTTGCATCGCAAGATGAATCAACCCACAGGTACGTTTGTCTGCCAACTGCCATACAGTCTTCAACAGCACGATTATCTGCAGTCTCACCATTCGGTTGATTAGATTTCCTGATAAATTGACAAGCCTAATTAATAAAGTCTAAAAATTATGGTCTGATGAACTAATCTGAACCAAATTTGTTAACAAGATGTTGCGCCGATATGGCTACCCATTATCTATAAATAGGAGAAGTACTGATATATTAAATATGAAATTAAAATAAGTTTTGGCTTGGCATAATTTATCTCATTTCCCTTACTGTTATCATCTAATAAGGTTTGTCAGCATTTCACCACTGAAAAAATGAATTCAACTACGGCAGTTAATGAATATCATCATTGAAGTCATGCCGAGGTATTTCTCTTTACTATAATATTGATAATAATAAAACTGCATGGTATACGAGATCAAAATTCTAATTCGCTCCTTAAATAATTTTATTTTTTTATTTTATTTTTGCAACTTTTTTAAATAAACTTGAAAAACAAACCAGTTTTGATATCCTGCTTCTCCTCTCATTGTCACATCAGTACCATCCTGCCATTTCCAATCTCTTTCTCTAGCTATGTCATTTCCTCCGATGTAAAAGGTGTTATCTTGATGTTGTATGCTAAGAATATAAAAACCTTATTAGTTTTTTTTTTAAGAAAATACCGGAGCCATCAATTGAAAATTAATAAACGACTGAGGGAAGAGCTGAAATATACCACGGAGCGCTAAGATAACTAAATATCCTTTGTGTGATGAAGCAAAGTAGTAATTGAAAAACGTTGATTATGCCAGGTAGTCAACAGTTAGTTCTGGTGTTTTGTAAACTTGAATGTATATGTCTAATTAGTAATTACTGAAAACACTCATTGCGTATAACAATTTTCGTTCAAGTTTAATTAAATATAGTAACTTGTAAGCTATGAAAATTTCATTGATTCTTGCTTTTATTCTATTTACGAATAACTACTGGCTTCAATACAGCATATCCAAGGTAAATAAATTGCAGTGTAGAAATTAACATAAATGCTGAGGCTGGTTTTACGATTATAATGTGAAAATCATGAAGTACATATTTGGAATTATCCCGATCCTACAACATGATTCCTAAAAGTAAAATAAATCTTTAGCTCTCGTACATCACTGTACAAACAATATCCTATTTCAACTCACGTATATAATAAGTGTTTAATCTACATCAAGGCTGCCCAACCCGCGGCCCGCGGTCGGCATGAGGCCCGCCAGACTGTTTTTCGCGGCCCGCCCTATAAAGTTTGTAAGCAGAATTTTTATGTTTGTACTATGTTATTGATCAATTTATAGGGTTAAGTATGTTTCGTGATTTTGGAGTGATTATTCCTGCCATCTATCCACATTCAAATGCCGGTTTTTATTATTTTGTATGTGTCAAGTCTTGCACCCTGGTAGACATCGACGTCATTTTTTTTTTATTTCTCGCAGAACTGAGCGTTCTGTTCGACGAACTCGAAAGATATTGTGCAATCATTGAGGACGAACGCTGAGCGCAATTATGGGAATGAATTTTGAGCCTAAATTTGCAAATTAATTTCATTCTGATTGATTTCTTACGTGTCTGCTTTGATCGTCTTTATCTCCAACGTAACATAAAAAGTCAACGATATCTTTGGTACTGGTTCTGGGACCGTTGTCCTTTTATGTTTGTGATTTTTTTTTTCAAATGTTTGGGTTAAATAAGATTTCGGAAATGTCGTCACTGCGTATCCGTCAATAATTCTAATGAAATTGACTGGCATTGCTGCATATTGGCCACGAATCAGTATATATATAGGCAATTCGTCCAGAAATCTTTGTAATGTTACTTCATTAAATATTTGCATTGGCGTTTCAAATTTTACAAAACGACCGATTAAAACTTGATATTCCTGCGACATTGGCACACATTATGCTCATTTAAACATTGAGGCAGTATCATAGCTACTGAAAATGAATGAATAAAAATACTATAACGCAAATATAACATTCAATTTCGACGTGATGTGTGTGTTTTCGGGTGTCATCAAGAAAGTTTCATGCCCACGCCCCGTGTTACCAGATATTCGAATAATTTGCCAGCCCTGCTTAGTAAACAGAAAGCAATTATTAACTTGATTGATTTGATCTTAATAAGCTTGACTTTTATGTATTACATAAATTACCTACACCGAAATCAGGACCTATAGCTGGTATTAATGTTTGGTACAAACGTTTGCGGCCCGCATCGAATTTCGACACTTGAAAGTGGCCCACGAGACGGAAAAGGTTGGGCAGACCTGATCTACATTGAGATGGTAAAATATTCAATACATAGAACAATTCACATATTAAATAACACCAAGATATCAAAAATAAGTTTCTTTTTAACTCACGCGAATGCTGCATTAATGACTGTCGTTATTCTTTGATCATCAACTTTAGCCAAGTAACCTCCAAATCCTTCACAAGAAGATTTTGCCTCGTTGTAAGTTTTACGTTGTTTGAAAAAAAGCAGTTCAAACCCATCAACACATTCTTTCTTCCAGGGATCTGAAACACAACGGTATCTGGAATTGTAATCAGATTCAAATTTCAACAATTGAATAAATAACAATTCTCATTTATTACAATGAAATTTGAAGAATATGAGCTGAGGTTTTTCATATATTATAGAAACATTTGCATTTGTCCGAGAGAAAAAAAACCTATTCATAAACAAAATGTTGGACAGGAAAAAAGCAAATGGGTTTATTCATACAATATTCAACTAACCTTGGGCTGAAGCACTTGTGATGATAATCGAGACAATTATCACCAAAACAGTAGGATTCATCTTTATTATTCAAAAGACACAGTTTTTGAAATTTGTGGTCAACTTAAATATTACACCCTAATTCCAATTTTGTATCTCTTCCTGATTAAAATATAAGTTATTTATTGTTAGTATGAAAAATAAACATATAGCTATGAAAATGAATTATATATCTTAGTTATTGGCAAAGCAAATCAAGTACATGGACGTGATAAACATCAGAGTTTCGATTGTTAAAGCAATATTTTACATAACGGCGAAGGACGTCGACTGAATCAATCTTTTATGAAGCAGTAGATAGGTCTTTTCACAAGTATGCTCAACTACATCAATGCGCCCAATCCTATATTCGGTTTTCATGTTGATCATAGATAGTTATTGGCTCAAGACTGCACTGTCCTTTAATATACTTCTTCCCCAATACCCATGAGTCTTTCTTATGGTAAATTACAAGCAGCAGGGCATGTACATGGTGTGAAGCGAAAGCATTGAAACACCTTTTCACGAGAATACTTTGAAACAGTGATAACTAACTACACAACTTAAAAGTTCTTTCATTCACATTTCAAAATAATTCCACTACTACAAACTGTTACTATTATTAAATTACCAACATTTCTCGAAACCTGCTCTACATACAATCATAAAAAATACACGTAAATTATTATGTCTTTCTTATGAGTGGTTCAACTATACTCTGAGTCAGTCTATCACTTCCGCATATAATTGACTTCTGGAAACCGTTCCTCGGTCATAATGGATTGTGTGTGTATTCATTAGTTATAGCTTATGGGATAGCACAATGCCATACGAAAGCATTGCCTCTATATCAAAGCCAATACAGCACTGGGAATGTACTCGTCATCGTTATCATACGCGGATGTTATGAAACCAAGTAACATAACCAAGTAGAAACTGTTTTCTTCCGTCTTTCATCAGCTTGCACACATCCTACATCGCATCACACTTATCTTTGACATGTTCAACAATTCATGATAACGTTAATTTCAAAACGTAAATGTCTAATAACGTACTATCCACAATTAAGTTTATCTTACATTTTTTTAAGAATAAAAAGTTTGCGATATTGTCCCCTAAGTCAGGGGTGTGCAAACTACGGCCCGCGGGCCAAATGCGGCCCGCAAGAAAAAATGTGCGGCCGACGGAGAAGTGCCAACTTTGAATGGTGTGCCAAAAAAAACGAGTTTTTAGTTTAGTTAATCTGGAAAGTTCGAGCAATTTTAATCCCATTGCGTAGTAGCCTATAGCATTCATATTACAAAAACTAGCGAACAATATCCTGTTGCAAACTACACAATGTTATAAAAACGTCTTTCTCACTGAATTCGTTTAAAGTCGGTGTGATAATAAATTTGAATAGCAGTTTATTAACAATTTATGCGTTTTCATCACCATTTCTCCAAGGACTCCTAACACTTCCGTACGATCAATAACAAAAAGAAACAATTCTTGGTGTCGGAAGCTACCAGAAAGACTATGTTCAATAAAGATGTGACCCGCGGCTTCACCCAGTTACTTTTATCTAGACCTCCTGTAATAAAGGTTGCACACCCCTCATCTAAGTAATTCCTTTTATCTAAACCTCTCGGAAGTTTGAATAGAAGAATGTAGAAACAGATCGAACATATCTTCATTAGGTTATTGTGTTTGAATATTTGATAAAATACAGCATATTGTTCCAAAAAACGATGCCGCATTTAATCAACTGCCAGACGACCTTGCTTTATTGCACGTAATTGAACACCTAATTGAACCTTATTGAGGAAACATAAGGTTATCAAGCAAGCTAGTAAAGAATTTGCTTTTGCTTGGTTCGTATTTAAATAATGTATTTTTTTTTTTGCGCTTTCCCTCTCCAAAAGTCTCTTTACAATCGGTCACATAGGCTCGGAGGTTGAATCGTTCATTCATAAAAAATAACAACGTTGAGACTTCGATTGTAGTAACGCTTTCATAATATTTAATATAACGATATAATTCAATTGTAATATTTACACGACACCGCGTATTAGGTTTCAGTCTTTTATCCTAAGCGCACGATGCACAAAACGTTTTATTTTTTATTTTTTAGGTATTACGTGGGATTAGGCCACCATTCGCATTCTTCGTGGTTTTGGTGAGCATGCAACTTATTTTCGGAGTAGTCATCGATCCACGCAACGTTCTAATGAAAGTTTTACAAATATGTGCTCCAATGATTCATAATACGACGATTTTACAACTGAGATTATTTCACCCCATGGTACAATTTCCCATTGAAAACGCTAACATTCGACGTCTTAATTAAAACAAAGGGTGAAGGGTTTCTGCTCGCAAACAAAGACGTAAGTTGAATAAAATTACAAACTATACACATTTATGACTAATGTTGCCACTATTTCAGTGTGGGATGCGCTTTCAATGAAAAGGTCTAATTTCTGCCAATATTTTTTCCTTTGGAACACATTAGAGTGACATCTAGGGCTGGAACCTCGAATACTTAAGAGATGTGTAATTGTATGTGACTATTTTATGAAATGGGTACTCTTATCACATGAGTTTCTGAAAACACACAATCCATCACCTATACAGTTCGCTAAGTGCTCACACACGATAAGAAACATTGTCTTAGATTTCCGCTCTAGGAGACCCTTATTAAAGGGTCGTTCTGTCTGTTTTTCTGTAGCGTCTAAACTATTGGGCCAGACTGGTCAAAATTCCTCACGTGGTTTATACTGTCACCCTAGTATTGTGCGTTTTGCCAAAAGCTCAGATTGATGTTTCGTTTCCATGACAGCAATAAAAAACGCGCTGATCGTTGAGGAATTTCTAGTTTTTCTACAATTTATCGCAATTATCTCGTAAACTACATCAAGAATTAAAATTTAGACATCGCTATCGCCACCGGCAGGTTTATCAATAACTCACTGGGACAAAAAGATTCCGATGTCAGGATTAAATTTTGCTGTGTTTTCGCCTCAAAATATGGCGAACCGGAACAAAATCAAGATGGCGGCAATGCGAAGTTTTGGTTCGAATCGATTCGAATAATTCACCATTCGATTCGACTAGAATATTTTATTCGAAGTGCCGACCTCTATTGGTATCTTACAAAATGACTAGGAAATTACACAATAGCACGCAATACCAAACCAACAGTATTTTAATTCGTATAAATGTCTATGATATATAATATTAGATAATGAAACATACTATTGAGCAATATACGAAACAAATATCATTCTGACATTTGAATAAAAGTTTTTTTGGTTTCATAATTGATTATGGGAGTCATCGATCCACAAACGTTCGAATAAAAAACTTCCACTATGTACTCCATTTGTTCGTAATATATATATATTACGATTTCACAACAGGGATGTTTCACCCTATTAATATTTCACCTATCATTAGTTTAAGTATCATTACAGGTGAAATGTCCCTTTTTGTAGCGTTTACATCAAACGCAATAATTAAAACCAGAATGCGATGATCAAATATATGGGAACGAAGACCAAAACGAAGTAGTATGAGTATGCAATCTGTCACATCATACCACCGGGACCGCCTGACCACCAAATCGCGAAACCACCACAAGGTTGCACGATTGTTTATTTTGACGACGTCATCGCACACAAAAACGAATCCCTCGAAATTTTTAAAATAAATAAAAGTAATAAACTTTTAGCGAACCACTAGAAACCACTGAATATTTCAATGCAATTGGCCTAGTAGTTAAAGAAAAAAAAAAATTTTATTCGTAACAACAGTAAAATAAATTCAAACAACAACAACAACACAATAACAAACCCACCTGAAGTCTGCTTTGTGTCTAATGCATGATAAAGTGGGTGCCAATATCGCAAATTTTCTGATCGCAGTTGATAATAAAAATAGTTTTACACACGCACATATATATCTTAATAGTGAAGAATTTTTATAATTAGCCTAATGGGTTTAATCTTGCGTATATATATAGATTAAAATATATTTGAATAAATCCAGTCTGTATAATATAAGTTTGTGTAACTAGTTGCCTAAACTTGTGTTTCGATAAGTTACCTAATATTCACACAAAGGTCCATTTTTTCCATCCTAGACCAACATTGTGCAAACCTTGCATTCTTGACTTTTGGTCTAATTGGGAAGGCTATCAAGGTGTCTTTTGGAATAATACGAGGATAACCGAAATGCCAAGGTAAAGTGGGTGCTCCGGCTCCGTTGGAAAGAATCACTTTTTTAGTCTGAAAAATGAAAATGTTTTACTAAGATATTGGGTTTGTTCTAGACCAGGGCTACTCAATTGGCGGACCGCGGTCCATACCTTTCGAGTATTTGATTCGGACCGCACTTAATTCTTCATTTTAAATCATTAGCCCCACATTTAAAGTTTCATTTTACAAAATGACTTTTATTGTTTTGAATATATGTGAAAAGAACGATAACACCATAGTGAACAATCTTGATTATCTGATAATCATTATCTGGTCGAGGAAGTGCGCGTTTACGGATGCCGAAATATAATTTCTGGACCCAAATAACTTTGAAGTTTTGCGTGTGGATCTTCGGTAAAAATAGTTGAGTAGCCCTGTTCTAGACTTAGACACTATAGGCAAGAAGTAACGAAATTTGTTAGTCATACTTACTCGTGTGTTGTAGGTCATTCCAAGCCATACAACAACAGTTCTCGATTCTTTGCGTGAGTATTCAAGTACTAAGTTGTAGTGTTCCATTGAGTAGATATTTGCTAGCTCCCAACCTTTGGATTTGCACCATTTTTTAGTGTCTGGGTATTCCACATCTCAAATTTCATGCAAAATGGCTTGAAAGCATTTTCCGTTGTATAAGAGCGTTGGACAGTGTTCTGAAAAAAAAATAATAGTAACTGTTTTAGACCATATGTTCCTACATTTGTGCTTTAAACGATGCAAAAGGTAGAAAATATTTTTGATTTTCAATGCAATTTTGAATGTAATCTAACTACATTGGTATTGTAGGGTTGGTACCAATAGACTTCAGTGGGTAACTCAAGTCTACGGCATCTAAGATTTAACCAATTAGGCCAGAAGAGCTGAATCTAAAGCACGACT